GGCTCCGCAGGAACGAAGTTGAGCAGCGCAGCAATGGTGACTTCACCGCTTCCCTCCACTGAGAATTGCAGGGGATCTGGGGGTTGACTCAGAACAGACCAAGGGGTTCCCGCAACCACCATGGGAGATTGAGGCGACGTGAATTTGGCCTGTCAACAGCACACAAACCGAAAACACGTAAATCAACATTTCATACTGGAACCAACAAATTTTTTCACTTTCAAACGTCAAATTGACACAACACTCAACGTTTTGGTCTGGCGTTGTGCATTCCTGTGCCATTCTTCAGGCAAGCACTGCAATCGTCTGGATCGAAAAATTTGCGAGGCAGTGAGACGAAACATTTTAATACTAGTAGCAATATTGATAGGTGGCAACGGGAGTACTGGTAGTATTGATATCATTGCATCATTCCCGATTCATGGTATGCATCAGGTCCAAACCATGGCACACCGACACATATGAAGCAAAATGAAATACACCACTGCTCGTGCGGATTCCTCGCCTCACAAGTTTTAATTCGCGGACGTATATCACCGCAGGGAGCAGGTTATTTTACACCTTCTTCCAATACCAAGAAATTGCTATGCTTAAATGTTCGCAATATCGCCCAAAACAAGCTTGCCTGGAAGTAATTCCTACCTGCAGTAGCTCAACATCTCCACTTGTGGCAACCATCTGGAGGTCTGGGTCTGCCGAGCCTCTCGCGAGATCGTATTCTCCAAGCGCCAGCATCACCACTATTTTTTCGATGTAATCCGCAAAGTATGCGTATTGGCCAGCAGGGGGACTGGAAACATAGTTGGCCAGCTTCTCTTTGAATGGCCCCGCGGCCTGCCCAGCACGGGTCATTGCAAGTAGCACAAGCGCATTGGCCCTCAATCCTGCAAGCAGGATGCAGCTCATTCCCTTTTACAATTCATTCCCCTTGCGAGCGCGTGCACAGGTGTCAGATTCTCTTTACTGCGGAGTAGGCTGTTGTGTGCAGACTTTTGGCAAATGGCCTCAAAACCAGGCAATTTATCAGCACTCTACCGCCAGCTGGCTCAACCCTACAGCAGATCACAGTCCGAGCTGCTGTGTCGAACACAGCCATGTAACAGTCAAAGATGGAAAACCAGATTGCTTGCGCCACGCCATGTTTATAATAACTGTGTCTGGAGGAAAGCAAATTACAAGGCCAAAAAGGGGAGCCACCACGTTTCCAGGAACCACAATGCGGTTAAAATAAAGACATGGATTTATGTGTCTCCTTCAGCAATTCTTTGAGGCACAGGGCTCAGGTTCTCCTCTCCTGCAGTCTTGCTGAGTTCAATAACCAATTGCAACACATGCCATGCCAAACAGCCTCCATCGCTTCACAGGGCGCGGGGCATGATTGCCAGCGATGCAGTAATCATCAGTTGAACGCTCCACTGCGTGCACACAGCGACGCCGTATGTGATCCTATGTCTTCTTTTATGGCACTGGTGATATTTTTACGATATCTTTCACCGCATGGGAAAGACCCTCGCAGATTTTTTTTCTATTCAAGAGGGATTGCCTCTTGGATGGCAAATTTTTCCTTTGTGCCACAGATTCGGTGGCACAAGTTCCATGTGCCACATAAACTTTAATAAACATATGCAACGGTCTTCTGCACATCATGTATTCAGATGCCTACCCATCGAAGTGGCACAGCCATTGCATGTGGCGATGTAGGCAGTTCGTCTACCAACACGGAAGTTCGAGGTCCACTCGTCGATGGCCCGGGCAACTAACTCGTCTCCTGTCTGGCTTTGATTGCGAAGATGAATCAGAGCGACATATGCCTTGCTTTCCATGTCCAGCTTGTCAAACTCCCTCTCCAAACGCTCCATGGAAATATCATCCACTATCTGTGGTTTTGTGCCTTCGGGAGGTGCCCAATCTCTTCCAAGGGCAAACCTGAAGCAGGGAATGAACGGGATGAGCTTCTACTGTCTTGTGTTAGCCACATTAGACAATAACACGCCTAATATTGATTGATGTGATCTCCGACTTCACCACCACAGCGCACATCGCACACATATAGATTTCTAGGAGTGGGCTGTTTCACTCCCGCAAAATTTTGCCAGTCTCTTTCCCGCCTTGTCGTTTTGTTTCGTTCTGCGTTGCTGCAGGGTTGGGTGGGATGGTTTTCTAGGCAGGAAAGAATCCTATTCTTGCTTGCTGCGCGCAACCACTGCTCTGTTATGTGGAATTACAAAACCACCAGGAGAGCGTCACAAGCTCCCTGGCAGCCCTCAGTTCAGCATTTGCAGTACGTTTGGCAATCATAACATCTGTTGTTGAACTGGCGTTAATTCAAGGCCCCCCAGGCTTCAAAGTAAACAACTCCCTCAAAGCAGCATATTAGGCAAAAGCACTGCGCCAAGCCATAAGTGAACATCGCATTGCCTGCTGCATTCAATACAATGGAAGCTACTTTAAGATGCATGGTCTTTTGAAAAGAAAAAATTGAGAGTTCAAGTACCCGATTCTGCCGATGAGATCACCTGGCAAGTGCAACCGTTGATAAGCCGATAGGACCAAAAAATCGCCGCGATCGCGATTCCTGGGCATTCCTGACCAGTTGAGTCGCCAGCGCAGGTCTCCAGTGCTCATTGGACAGCTTTCTCAGAGCATCTGCACCTTCCAGAAACACCTATGCAGACATCCAGGATACAATCAACGAGACAAACATTTGGGGGCACAACGATACAACAATTCAAAAGCGAGTGTGCACAAAATACAATGGAAATCTCCATGCATGCAGCGTACTGATAGACAAGACAATGGTCGAGATGTTAAGGGCTCCTACCTAGGACAGTGCTGAGAATGCCATTTTCCGACATGACCCTGCAGTTCAGCCTCTCATGACCTCAACTGCCTCAAAGCTTCTGTCCTTTACAAGATGTGAGCCCCAAAGTGGGCTCGTTTACCAGGAGCATAGCGGATGCCTTCAACAACAACTGGCTCACTGGCGAGATCGCAAGATTCAACCCCGCCGCAAGTGGCACATTACAGACATTTGTGAGGCGTGACTCAAAATCGGCCTGCGCATTGTTTGCGATTTTGTGGAGCGAAAACTACATGCCACACTTAAACCCATAGTTCATTGGCATAGAATCGGGGCAGAGTGCGTAGCTACCTCTTGGTCAGTGCTCTTCAGGAGGTCCTGCAGTGAATCCTGTAGCCACACGGCCTGGGCGTTTAGGTAGATGCTGGCAGACCTTCGTGGTCTCATTTCAGGGCGACCAGCAGGGCAGGCGATCCACCACGTGAGCCCAAATTTAGAATGTGTCAAGTTGCCAACCACGAGATTCTGCAGGGCGCGAGAGAAGTTCGCTTCTGATGTGGCCAGCACCACTTGCATTGCGCTACCCTGTTCTTCGTCTTCATTCGGGGTATACAGGTCGTACATGTGCAGCGCTGCTGAGACAGCGGCGTGGGCGAGTTCAAGGGAACCATCGTGTGGGCAGGTATGGCTGCGGGAGACAGCAAACAGAGCGAGCATGAGGCAGTGATTGAGCTAAACAAAAACAGGTTTAGCAGTGCAAGTGTTTGCCTAGCTGTCGATACAATACTGGATGATGTGCAAATTTGCTGTGACCAAGAAAGGGCGTGCAACAATCAAATGCTATGAACCAACTATTTCAGTGCCTGCTGTATGTGCGTTTGACTTCGGCAACCTGGAGGAACACTGCGTTCTCTATGCAATTCCATTGGCACTCTGCACAATGAAAGCCTAAATTCAATGGATTCCAAGTCTAAGTCACAACTGAGCCAGGCGGTCCGCTTCAAGTGCTGGACACACTTGAAAATGTTCGCGCAGTTCGCGCGGCTCAAGAACCACCTGACCCAATGATTTGCTAGCTATGAATGGCTTCACTGCAGAAAATACAGCGATCAAGGCACAATTGACATGGCCTGAGCTCGCAGCAAAGTGATGATCTGTGCTCGAAGCATACTTGACATTTGTCTCCAAGATCTGCCGCGCATTGGCAAGGACCGCTGGCAATCGTCCCACACCGGCCTGAAGGTCAATGCCACCAGTGCCAGGCAGCGCAGCCGGCAGATCCAGGACTTCCACAGCAGTCGCCGTTTCGTTTTCCATATCCTGGATTGCGAAAGACGTTGCGACAGTGACGGGATCCTGGAGCCCAAGGATGGGCAACTCCAGCCTCAGCGCATCGCCAGACCCTGAAGTATCGCCTGAATAGCCATACACAAAACAATATGCAGCACATCTCTTGGCAACTTTTCAATCCAACTGTAGCATCTGAGACTTCTTATGATTGCAAATCCCCTTTCTCCACAACTTTGCTACAAAAGTTTGAGCGCGTTTGGCAAACTCGTCAATTCCAAGATGCATGCTGTGGCCATCAGCTGTGCAATATAGGGGAAAAGGCGCAACCCGCAGTGAATTCGCCGGCGACTGCGGCGCGACCCCCGGCAACGTCGCCGAAAGGGATTGGGAGGATAGCTGGGCTTTCGCAGTGTCGGCGGGATTTCCGCAAGGGGCAATAGGGGGTGGCCGTCGAGGGCTTCGGCAGGGCTCCCAGTTCTCCCAGCGACGCCATGGGCAACGGTGTGGCGACGTGCGCCCCCTCCCCCACCCCGAGGTTGGGAGATGTACAGAATACGTGCACACAGCATACGCACACACAAATGGGTGGGAATATCAGTTACCACATCATAGTGCCAACAAGACTTCCACAACATTCGCTTTGAACAAATAAACAGGATCATTGTCATCCCAGGACGAGTCACACCCATATCCGATAGTATATTGTTGCTGATGGTTTGTTTCTTCAATAGCTACTGTGCCCTAAACGCCACAAACCAACTAAAAAAATCTGCAGTCCCAGATCAACGACAGATCCCAGATCCCAGATCGACTACAGTGTCGATACGCTGTGCATGCGCACCGGCACTTATGACAAACTTCGCTTCTCCCATAGCCTCGGCCTTCAATCCAAAACGAGCCTCCGCCTGGCCATCAGCATATGTCACAATCTCTTTCTCAGATTCCACTGTCAGCGACAGGAGATCCTGGGAGTCGCCCTCGATTTTCAGGTCCACGGTTATGGGCACATTTGAAACCATCCCTCCCGAAATCGTGACGATGACGCCCGCCTCAAAGGCGTCGCCCACTCTGACGATCCGAGGGGCAGAAGGTGTGATCGACAGCTTCCTCCGAATGATGACCTCCATTTCCGCACTGCCAAAGCGAGGTGTATCTGATAGCATGAACGGCATCAGGGTGTTCATCGAGACAATACAGCAAGAAATCTCAAGCAAAGTCCATTGCTGTGCTTTGAGCACTGGGGAGATGTCTCTTGACACATTCTTGACATGGAGAACAAAATTTCAACGGTTAGCTTCAGGTTGCTCATCCTGGAGGTAAGAGCGAATGGACTGGCCCCCCAGTTGATGCCATATTTGTTTCAGGTCTGCAATGGTGGCATGAATCACCAGCGCAGCCCACTGAATTCTGAACTCAAAGTGCAATTGACCTGCTTTCTGTAGATGGATACTACGGTACCACTTGTTGTGGGAGGCAAGAGTCTCATCAAGAAATGACCGTCAGTCTTAAAATGGTCTCTCTTTGTGAGAAATTTGCTGATTCTTTTGTGGAGATCAAGGAGAAATGCATTGCGCTTCGCAGTCAGTTATAGCTGTGAAGTATTTTTTTTTGTGGCACGACAATCACAAATCTAATTCTGAACAAAAGTGCAGTGTTATCTAAATTCCCAACCCCAAGTGTGATGCCTTATCTGAAATAGAGAAAGAGCGGTTTCCATCATGAAACGATTTCCTTGCCCACCTGTGACGGCGTAGGCCCTCACAACAAAAGTCCCAAGGTTATCCGGAGCAGTGAAGTCCACAGCTGCCGATCCGTCGCCTGTCGCATTAACGGTGACAAAAAGTGGAGTGGCTACAAAATACGCCTGGTTGCGGAGAGGCGGCCCAGCACCACCCAGGGCACCGGAAGAATATGTAGACCCAGGCACAGGACCATTGTTCCTTTGAGGGTGTGGTTGCGCAGCTGGAGGCAATGGCCCCACATCTCCAGCATGTATTGACAACGGTATGATGGGCTCGTCAGTGCAGCGGTAGCCATAGTCGTAGTCGTAGTATCCATCGATCACAGACCTTGGCGTGAGCAGCTGCACATGCAGGAGCACAGTGTCATATGTGGGGTGTGAAAAGTTTCGGTTGAACAGGACTTGACCCTTGAGAGCATTCCTTTGAGAGCGCTAGGCTATGTCAGGCAAAACGCCTTACAGGTTGGCAGAGGTGGTAGGAAAATTGTTAAAAAATCATCAGAATTTCGAACTTTATGCTGAAGCATTGCTGCAGGTTGGTTTTGCGTTGCAGAGCCCACTGACAGGGAACATGCTCACCAGCAGCAGGAAGGGAAATACATTCATGCCATATGTTTCACACACAAACTTCACACACACACGGCAGTCTGTCAGCCAATTTCTGAGGGTGCAGCAGTGCACTGATACACTTGCAAAGCAATTGATCACAGTGCCTTGCTGCATTTCATTGTGATTTTCAGGTTTATGTTAGTATTGGTATACATTGCCGCATGCATACGTGCTGGGCCTGACATTGCATCTCATTCAAGCTGTACCGCAAGTCAGCCCCAAATACGCCACGACATCTTTTATCCTGCTTTAGTTCCTATTCAATGGCAACGCTCAGCAGCTCACCTCGCCGTCTATTCTGGCCCACGGGTTCTTCTCTTGCTCCCTTACAAACTTCTCAACAAGCTCCGTAATGGCCCCAGGTGCATGCAGGAAGCTGGAAGACGAAGCCACGCCGAATCTGAGAGCCAGGCTGAATACATAGTCTGCAGCAACATCCCTCAGCTCATGCGGAACCAGCTCCAGGACAGCCTTGTCGATGGCCATCACTGTGAATTCCACTGCCTCATCTGCTTTCAGAGGACAAGTCTCATTTTCGTGCGGCTTCCTGCAGCCCTTGATGGTAACCTCCACAGTGGTGGACTCTTGGGGCCTGAGGACTGGAGTGCCCTCCTTTGATGGAATCGAAAGATCTGGCAACGACAGCTGGACATCTATGCGCAGGTCCTTATGACAAACACCATGCCACATATTCTCAGGCACGCGGGGATTTTCCAGGCGTTTCGGCGTCCTCTGTGGTTTCTAGGAATGAGCCATGAAGCAAGGAATTCTTGATTGTGGATGCTTGGACCACTAGGAAAGAAAAGGGCCAAATAACACGTGTCCAAATATGTACAAAGTTTACGGTTTTGCGTTATTTTTGTGTTCTCAGCGTGAAGAACTTTGATGAAATGTGTTTTACTTGTGTTCGCAAAAGTGTTATTTGGCCCCCTTTTTTTCCTAGTGGACAGGAATTGCTAGAAGAACGATATCCGTAGCAAATATCCGTTTCCTTGAATACCTAAGTGCTGAAACTTAGTGCTTGCAAGAGGAAAATAAAGACGGCCTTTTCATTCTGAAGGCATGTTGTATATGTGTCACACAATTGACCATAGTCGGCAGCCAGATACGTAGATCTTGCATGACACATGATGCCCTATCCTGCATGGTAGGGCCACTACCGTAGTGGCACTACTTGCGGACAGGACGTGTGAGTAATGGATGCACATTCCGAAGGAAACCAATACCGATACAAGTATGCAAATTAGGGATGGTACCCGGGTACAGGATGCCCGGGTACCCGGGCCGTGTACTGGTTTTTCTTGTACCCCCCAACCCTTGTACCTGGGTAGGCGGGTATGGGTACGTACCCGGGTATAGACTGTACTACAGTCGGGTACCAAGACTATCCGGGTATTGCCAGTACCCGGTTCCTGATACGGACCCGGGTACAGTAGTGGTCCCCCAATAGCGCCCCCCAAATTGGCTTGTCACCATTTCTGTGGTACTTTCTGCAGCTTCGCTGCGCAGTGGGACCTCAAACTACTATTGTGGACACCCAAGAGAGGCGTCCGGTGACGGACGCCATGGCGGCCAACGGCTTCCTCGAACTTGGCATATCGGCGGACGGCACGTCTGGTGCTGGGCCGTTGACCGGCGTTGACCATCGAATGGGCACTCGCGGCACTGCGCAGGATCATCTTGGCCGGCGTGTGTGGGTGGTGCAAGGTGCGCAAGGTGGTGTTTTGCGGCGTCACCTCACCTGGGGGCGCAGGCGGCGGCCCACAATTCGTTTGGATAGTGGCTGCACTACAATTGTTGCGATGACACGGGGGGAACGCTGAGTAACGCAGGGTTACTCCATCCGTAACGCCCTCCGCGTTACAGATATTTGCAGAAAGGCTCAACACGGGGGCCGTCGTTCGGTGCGTGGCGCGTTCGTTTCCGCGAAGGTTCCCCCCGTCCACACTGTTTGCGGCTGTGTCCGCCCCAAAACGGCGAGAGTGGGAGGCCGAACGTTGGCTCCCACTCCCGCTTTGCTGCCACTCGCGGCCACCGATTGGTGCCACTCGCGGGTGCCCTGATGGGCATCCCCGAGTGGCATCAATCGTCGCCCTCAAGGGGCGAATGCCAGGGGTAAGCTGCAGCCAGCGCGGGGCCGCAACGTGGGCGCAAAACACACCGCAAAACGGCGGGAGAGGGAGGCCGAACGTCACCTCCCACTCCGGCCACTTTTCGCTCCTCGCGGCCGTCGAACGGTGCCACCCGCGGGTGCCACGATTGGCATCCGCGAGTGGCATGAATTGGCGCCCCCAAGAAGCCAAACTGGGCACCACGCTTCGCAGTGCATAAGCGGAGATCCGCTGCAGATCTCGTGCCTCCCACGCCCCTTCCGGGGAGGCATGCTACCCCGCCCTTCGCGGACGCACCGTCTGTCCGTCCGCGAAATACCATGTTCGCGGAAACGGACGGGTGCCACCACCTCCGTCCGCAAACTTTGCACCGTTCGCAGCGTCGTCGTCGTGGACTCGTTAGACAGAAGCTGGCCAAGCATGCGGCAAACCGGTTTCCGTACCAGGGTATATACTGGGAGCCGGGTACTGGCTGTACCTTGTTACCCGGCTATTCGTGCTTGCCCGGGCAACACCCGGTACACGCG